TTTAACATGATGGACATTAAAATCCCAATGCTCATTTATAGCTCAGGACACAATTATGATGTATCATGTATGTATAGCTATATGTGTATCCATAAACACATATAACATTTGGCATTTTAAAAAGCATATTATTCATCTTAACTCAGCTTAAGAAGCCTTGAGCAGCATTCTCGGTGGTGGCCCCTCGTCTCTGGAACTCCCTCCCCAGGGAGATTAGGCTGGCACCCACCCTACCCACATTCCGTAAGGAATTAAAGATGTAGATATTTCATTGTGCATTCGACTGACGACTCCTGTGACAGATGATCTGTATCATGACCTGATTCTGAATTCCTATATTATATTACTATATATACTTTTAAGTTCAGTTGAAATGATCCTGTTAAATTGCTCTGTTTCAGTGCTATTTCCTATGCTATTATATGTTTCTATCCACCTTATTGAACCACCTTATCCTTTAACCAGCTCGCATAGTGGTCCTCTTCTCCCCCTCCAAAATTAGTCTGCTGTTGCTTGATGCTTGTTATTAATGTTATGCTGTTTTATGCTGTTTTAATTTGTTATTGTTTAGGTCTCTTTATATCCTCCACTTTGATTCTATGTTATCTAGCTCAAGTGAGGATTTGTTATTTATTTATTTATTTACGGTATTTCTAGCCTACCTTTCTCAGCCCTAAGGTGACTCAAGACAGGTTACAGATTGGAAACAATTTAATACCACACATTCATAAAAAAATACAATTCAAAACATTCAGCATAACAATATAAAAACCATATAAAATCATTAAAAACATATGATCACCAGTGTCATCCTGTTAAACTCATTTTCCAATAGCATCGTCTAGCCATTACTTATTCATTCTTCATAGTTTCATGCATTTCCAAAAGCTTGTTTGAGAGCCAAGTTTTTACCTTTTTTCGGAAAGTCAGGAGGGAGGGGACCTCATATATTCATGGGAAATCTTGGAATGTATCTCCTGTGGATAGAGGGTTGATGCTATATTCTATATCAGTAGTTCTCAACCCGTAGCTCCTCAGGTGTTTTGGCCTACAACTCCCAGAAATCCCAACCAGTTTACCAGCTGTTAGGATTCCTGGGAGTTGAAGGGCAAAACATCTGGAGACCCACAGGTTGAGAACCATTGTTCTATAACTATGGCTGTACACATAAGTGAGAGTAATAGCTAACTAGCTAAATAATTATAGCATTCAGATTAATCCTAGGATTCAGATTTTTTTATCTTTAGATAATAGAACTTGTACATATTGCAACAGTTTTTCTGCCAGCCAAATAGTCTTTTTGATGAATGCAATGTCTCCGTAATGGCTTGTGTATTGTATCCTTGACTTAGGTATACATGAACTTCAGTTCAATCATATGCTCCAAAATTGAACTTCAATTCATCATATAGAGCGTCAAAAAGGGCAAACAGATGTTTTAAAAGTACAGGTTTGTCACTTTATAAGGAGAGTTATTGTATATTAGGAGGAATATATCCTGAAAAAAATAAGAAGGGGAGCTCAAAATATTCAGGTTTTTTTAAAAAAATCAATAAAATAGAAATAGTAATTACAGCAATAAACATTGCCAATTCATGAAACACTTGCCCAGTGTGGAACCACCCTTCATAGACCAGAGGTCCATATAAGGCACCTTTCTATGTTAAAAGTTCTGTGATTTTGCTACTAATACGTATATAGATTTCTCCCCATAACTTAAAAAGGTATTTTTTCTCTCTTTTTTGGCACCAGGCAGGTACAGCACCATTAATCACTAAGTGTTCAAGGATGTATTTAAGTCTGTCTGGTCCATGTCAAAGTGTCTAGGGTAGTTGCCAATTACCTGCTATCATATGCACCCTCATTAGTGCTTTGACAAGGAATGTTTCTAACCTACAAGAAATGTAATTTGAACATGGGCATACTGAAATTCTAGGTGGAACTGAGGGACCTACTTTTTTGTGGGCCGGGCCGGGTGTGTGTGTGTGTGTCAATTTTATTAGATTTTGTTTTGGGAAAACTATTTGAGAACCTGAGAAGCTGTTTTTGTTATTCCATTGGGCCTATAACTTTTCTTTTTGTTTTCTTGAGAGACACCAACCAATTAGTTATTAACACATTACAGAAAACTGTAAATGGTGACAGTAATTCTTTGGCAGAACATTTTCTAATTAGCATATTTCAGAAAACTAGCAAAATGATGACGGCAATTCTTTGGCTCAACATGGGATTGTATTGTTTAGCTTGACATATTTCTCCAGCTTACACCAATTGCTCAGTGGACAAAAAGCATACCTAGGTGTAAAACAGAAAACAAAACTCAACATTTCAGTTATTGACATATTTAGTCACCAAGGCAAAGAGTTTAATGACATTCTATTTGTTTTTTGTTTAAACACCAGTTTTATTTTTGTAAAGATTTTCTGGCAGTGCATAAAATGCCAGTAAAGCACTCAATGTTCCAAGTAGCCAGTTAGTTCAATCATAGTTTTTTGTACACCTGCCTTTATCTATATTATATTTAGTTTTCAATATTCAGTCATGCACATGAAGCAGAAGTCAGGCAAGGTATATGGAAGTAAGGGCAAGGTTGATTGGCCTCCATTTCAGAGATCTTGGAGATGACTGTTTTTCTTTCTTTCATGTAAAACAAGGATGTCAAACTCATTTTCAATGAGGGCCACATCATTCTTAAGGTTGCCTTCAAAGGGCTGTTTGTAATTCTAAGACTATTTAAATGTAAATATGTTGCACTGGCATTGAAAGCCTTGTGAGCCACATAAAATGACGTGGTGTGCCAGATTCGGCCTGTGGGCCTTGCATTTGACCCATGTGATGTAAGCCAATGTTAGGCAACTGTCAGGTTTGGAAAGTAAAATTGTTCCCCCACACCCTGGGATATTGGAGGGTTGTGCCCCAACCTGCTGCTCTTTCAAAGTTTACAAAGTTACTTATTTATTGTCCATTGATTATTATTTTCCCTATCCTGATGTAAATGAATGATTAACATCAAGAGTGGTGGTTCATACCTCTGGGGATCAATAAAGGGCTGCACATTGGAACATGATTCTAATGAGAGCAAAAATATCTGTTCACAAACTGTGGTATTGACTGATAAGTTCTATCCCTACATTTCCCACAATATGTCAGGCCATGAGTCTCCTCAGATTGTGAGAACTTTGGGTAGAATCTGTAATAGGACGTACTTCCTCTGGGGCTCCTTTCTTTTACCAAAAAAGACTTTCTCGTGTTATTTGATAGAATTTAATTGTTAGAAGGCCCAGAAAATAGATAAAAAGTAGCCACATAACCTAACGGATGAGAATCAGAAAGGTAATAAGAAGTTTGAATGTAAAAATTTAGCAGTTGATCCGTCCAGGTTGAATTCCAGCGGACAACTTCCCTGAATAGTCAGTAAAACAAATTTATTCATTACAAAGTCCAAAGGAAATAAAGTCATGCACAAAATACTGCAGAGGTTCTAGGTTTCATTTGTCACAAACTGGTTGCCATAGTGCTCAACAGGTCCTGGATCCTTGCATGTTAAATCATCCAGTAGATCACACCTATTCTCTGCAATTGTGTAGGTATCAAAGCTGCAGAATGGCTGCACTGTAAGATTATTACTCCAAGTGTGTTCTACAATAAAATGTGCCTCTAAGAGAAGAAAATTTCTCATTCCCAATTGGAGGAGCATTTTAACTCTGGCTAGATGACATTTTTTCCCCTTTAAGAGCAGTCTGTGTTTTGAATGTTGATTTTTAACATCCTTCATTTCTGAATAGTTATGTCTCCCTAAAACAATGGAAACAATAAACTAGACTCCTAAAATCGTATTGAAAAGAGGCAGGACACTGAAGGGAGACATTTGAGGAAGGTCACTCAATGGCAATTGCAGTTATGGGACTTCTAAACTTTCTTGATTATTATTTCCCCTTGATTTTAGTGTACCTTGGAGTGATTTCAGGGCAATTGCACACCTGGACTGTTTAATGTGGGCGTTTCTTTTGAAAAGTCCTTTTGTTGTTTGCTATTTCACTGAATGAAACAGAAATGTGTGAATAATATTAGAATCTCTTTGACTGGTTTGACATACACGGACTTTCAGATTCAGCACCAAGTCTCATTAATTCTTGGCCAGGAATGATGGAAGCTTAGTCCAAAATATCCAAAGAGCAACATGTTCTTTACATCAGTTCTCAGAAATCCAGAAAAAAGATGTTGCTTTTGTTGATTCATTTGTTTTGATGGAATTTAGTTTTATCTAAATTGATGTGCTCACCTACAAGTTCTTTGACATGTTGGTATGCTTATTCCAATGATAACTAAATGGATAACAGAAGCACTCAAATGTTTTCTTGAAGATTTATAGGCCTTTATTGTCAAAGGAAACTAATAAGATATACAGCCTGATTGAAAATTATAATTTCCAGGTTAATAGCAGTGTTGTGATTGACAATAAGGGGAAATCTTTTGAAATGTGAGGTCTTTGGTCAATATGAAACAATATGCAATCATATCAAATGTAAAATGAATTGGGTTGTTGTAGGTTTTTCAGACTGTATGGCCATGGTCTAGAAGCATTCTCTCCTGACGTTTCACCTGCATCTATGGCAGGCATCCTCAGATGTTGTGACTCCTCTGGCAGGTATCCTCACAACCTCTGAGAATGCTTGCTATTGATGCAGGCAAAATGTCAGGAGAGAATGCTTCTAAAACATGGCCATACTGCCTGAAAAACCTACAACAACCCAGTGATTCTGACCATGAAAGCCTTCAACAATACATTAAAATGAATTATTCTGAAATGATACATAATCATTTTAAGTTTAAAAGTTTCAGAATTTTCAAAATTACTTTTGAAGGAAAAGAAACTTGACTGTGTAAAAATATACTGTTTTGGAACAGGGCACATTGCTTTTTATAAAAGACTTTCCTTGTATCACAAGGTTTTTAGAACTTCAGACATATTAAACCCACTTGTATGATGTTCTTTGCAGATACCTCAAATCAGCTATGCATCTACAGCTCCAGAGTTAAGTGATAACACCAGGTATGACTTTTTCTCTCGGGTGGTACCTCCTGACTCCTATCAAGCCCAAGCCATGGTCGATATTGTGACAGCACTTGGATGGAACTATGTCTCAACATTGGCTTCAGAGGGAAACTACGGGGAGAGTGGCGTCGAAGCATTTATGCAGATCTCGAGAGAAATAGGTAACCAGATATATATTTCTTTCTTATATGTTCTTAGTTCCGACAAGTTAGCAAACACTTGCGCACTGTTTTGTGACATCTGCCTGATTGTTGTGGAGCTATTGAATCCATTGGGGGAAACTGAATATGCTATGGCCATTTTGTTTGTCATTGATTTGATAATGTGACACCATTGTGAGTTACAAAGCATCAAATAAAAATTCTGAGAAGCTAAATATAACCGTAAGTCTATTGTTTGGAAAGATGATGGTGAAAATTAAATCTTTGACAGATTATTGCCTGGGGATTGCTTGGGCTTGTTTCTATGTGTAGAGAGAAGGAAACATGAAGTTCCTTATACCTAAAGAGTGATAAGTGGTTGATATTGTTTGGAGTATGTTTTCACCTCCTATACTGTATATGGAAAAAGGAAGGATCAGGAGATACTATACCTCTCATACATGCATAGGTCCTAATCAACGTTGTGAATGAGTGGTCATTTTGCCGTCTAGATTTTGTACAATCCTATTCACATAGGTTAAAAAAATTACTCTTTGAATCTGCCTTTCAGTGCTCTTATATTTTTCAGTGGTGCCTCAAAATAGGACTTTGAAACACATTAGGAAGAGTGAAAAAAATGCATATTGTGATAATCAAGAATGTGTGTTTTTTAAAATAAACACTGAAGTTGGTAAACCTCCTGAGCAAAGTTCATGAATTTTAACAATATTGCTGATCCAGTTTCTACTCACTTAACTAACTTCTGACAGCATAGTTGTTAATTTTAGGATGAAATGTGCTATATAAAAGCAAAGTCATTAACACGAGGTGTTTTTTCTCCCATCTCTTTGATCTTTTTCTATCTGTGCTCATTAGAGTAGTTATTTTTTTTGTCTGTAAAACTGGGTCTTCTTAAAGAACAATAGAATACTGAGGTGGTATGGTAGCGATGTTCGTAAATGTTCATCAGCCTCCCAAGTAATGCTTATGTAACTGAGCTAAAAGAAAATTAGTCAATAAACTTGTAGCATTTTCACCCAAGTGGGAAAAATGAGACAAATTTGCCAGCCCTTTGTCAAGGATTTCAGGTAGCATTCATTTTATCAATCCAAGAACTTTGTGAAATTGCAGAGTCTGAGAAGAATGATTGGCCCACAGTGAAAAATGGAGAGTTACAGATGAATGGAAATTTTTCAGTTCAAATCTGTCAACTGTTCTTTGCTAGTACTTAGCATGGTAGAGTGTCTTAAATATCAATGCAAAACAATTTCATCCAGATGAAGTAATGAAGAAAATTATTATCTTTGATGAACTGCAAAACAGTTTTCAAATTGAATCAGCATGTCATCTTTTTAAAACGTACAAACCTAGGATTGTCTACATAATCAACAAACCCATACTCGCTGCAAATGGACCACGGGTTGCTTTTACAATGCATAGCAGCTTTGATGAGTATTGTGATTTTTTTGTATATATCCTGATTTTGTCCCACTTTGGGTTAGGCTGGGGATATTCTGAACTTTGATTGAAACTCAAGAGTATAACAGGGCTTCAATCCATCTGGACAGTTGGATCAGGTCTGACCTTCTGTCCAAATGGATATTGTGCAGGGAAAGAGGATGGAACATACCTGTGTTGCTGCTGCCCCTAGCCAGCCATGGTGCTTTGTCTGAAAATCTTCTGCCATTTCTGCTGATGTCAGAACAAGGCACCAGCATGACCTTGCTAATCACACAGACTTCACATTCCAACATCAGCAGAGGCAAGTGCAACATCAGAGTGCTTGGATGGAGCTCCATGGCTCAGTTAGGAATGGCAACATAGAGGTGATAGCCCAGTGAAATGAATGTGGTCCCGGTCTGTCTGGACAGTGACCCTGGATTCAGCATGTATATTTTGGATCCAGGGTTCCTCCAGGTGACCTTTACACTGGGCTAATCTGCTTTTTATATATGAACCTCCTGTAGACTGAAACTTCTTTTGGGCCAAGCCAGCATAGCCAAAGTAGAGGATGACTGGGAGTTGCCATACAGCAACTTCTGAAGGATGTATGTTTAACACCTTGTTTTAAGACTTTCCATGTCAATGCTTGTGCCAGTGCATCGATGTATGTACAATTGGATATGTCAACTGTTGAAGACATTTTGAAAGCTCCTGATCAGAGCCCCCGGGAATGAAATGCTTTCATTCAGTGCATCCTTTCATTGATTTTCACCTGTCACTTTCTGTAGGGTGTACAACAATAATCTGATTGTGTGTAAATAAATGATGGATGGATGGTCCCAGAAAAGATTACTTTACCAAAGAAAACAAAAGTGTTGAGGTTACTGATTTTTTCTCAGATCTTTGATACTGAGGAAACAACTCTCTCAACGTTGCATCACAATTAGTAATTAAGCAAAAATTCTTCATAGTAAGAGCCAGAAACAACATGCTTTTAAACTTCTATAGAATTTGGGAATATTGGGTATTAGTCAAATAAGTTGCTAACAAAAAGACTAAGGATAGAATCAGTGACTTTAGACTACTACTAAAAGGCTTCTGTGTTGTTTTAGGTCACAGGTTTTTAAGAATTCTGAAAATGTGTTTGGCTGTCCTTTCTACTTGTCATTTCCTTAAATATTCAGAAGGGAAATGAATGGACTGTCGACTCAAGGCGGCATAATGAAAAGGTCAATGTGGGACCTCAATAACATGTCACAGGTTTCTATTAGGCATCAGCAAAGATCACATGTAGTACACAACCCAGCAGAATATTAATAATTTCTGGGACAATGGTTGTAAATGAATCTGGGAAACTACTGATTTGGAAATGTCAAAATGTGAATTATTGTCTGCAGACAATGTAGTAGATGGATATTCTTGATTCCTGGCTTTTACAAGTTTGACTAGGCTGCTACTCTCTGCTTTTTAAGCTCTTGTTCCTGTACTTCTATCACAAAAATAAATTGTTATGAAATTTGAATGGAACATAATTAATCTGTCTGTTTCACATAGTAATAGCTTGAATTCTGAGCGACTAAATAGGACTATTTGGAAAATATAAATGCAATATATAAAATATTCTCTCTGTATTAGATGGAGCTTGTAAAAGTTCTTTTATTTTTTGGATTATTATCCCCAGATTCCTCCAGTCAGCATGGCCAGTGTGTAGTGAGTTCTGGTAATTAGTCCAAAAGGCAAACTTTTCAAACTCTGGTAATAGTGTAATGCTAGTGTATATAAACTAATATACGGACAAAGCTCTATATATTTTTCCTATGTGCTTCCTTATCCTCCTTGCAAAGTCTCATGAGAACTGGGAGCTCTTGGACAAAATCTGAGATATGGACTAGTAGAGGGAAAGTGTTCAACTGGGGCTGTTCAGCAACAAGCAGCTTATACCACCTTTGAAGTTAATCAAATCAAAGAGAAACAGTGAAACAATCAAGGAGTATTGTGGTCAATATTAAACTGAATATCTAAATGAACTTTACATGTAAAGGAACTCTTCATCCAAACAATACAAGGGGAGATAGCTTCCCATATCTTGTATATGGAATTCTTGTTGCTGAATTGGATCATTTATCTTATCCGGTTAGGAAGAACAGGTTCAAATGGGAAAAATAAGAAATTGAATAACAGAAACACTGAAGGTGAGTTTATTCTTAGTTACATTTCTGAGGGATTTCTAGATAAAGATGGATGAAATGGTCAAAATGGTCAAAATGTATTTCTCAAATGCCAAGAAACTGTGATGAGGAGAATCTTTGTGAGAATCTTTAAAGTTTGTGCAAAAATTAGGATTGCCTTCACAGAAAATGCTGGCTTTTAAACAAAAAGTGCAATTTTGTTCTAATTTCACATTTTGCTCAAATCCATCACTGTATATGAAAGGACAAGCATTTTCCTTGTATTAAAATACAACATACAAAGTTTGTGCAGAATAAATCTGTAATTGCAAATAGCATCTGAAAACATGGTCCAGAGCTCATCAACTGGCATTCAGCCCATCTAGAGTTTTGGAGGAGCTAAGCCATGCTGTTAGGGCCACAATATTCAGTGTCTATAATTTATGTTATATCCCTACTCCTTGTTTTTTCTGGTGGTTTGCTGTTTGGGGCTGGGATATTTTAGAGAAGAGTCAGCAAAAACAACACCCAACATCTCTATTTTATATAATCCAGCAAATATTTGGGTGGATAATAGGGGTTTAGGCGGTAGTGAGCATCCCAAGGATTGTATTGAACCCTTCTAACAATCCTTATGCTGCATGATTCTCATTCCTACGTCGTGAATGATCAGGCATGGTACATCAGTAGTACTTCCTTTTCTACAAGTTTATCAAGCTACAGATTGGTCAACGGGCTTCCTCCTCTCTAATTATTTGTGCATGCAGACACATCTACACTCTCTTGTGTGTCTCACCAAAGCATCATGGGGGCTGAATAAGTGACAGCCAGAACCTGGGTTGCTAGTAAGAAAAGCACAGTGGTTGGCCTTTCATTTCTCAAATTCTGGCAGCAGAAAATGATTAAACATTGTCTCTCTGGGGTGCTGGCTTTTTGCTTGGTTCGGTTATTGCAACGGTCTCATTACAAAAATCCAATCCATCGCCTTAATGGGTGTGGAATGCTGGAGGACAGGTTTTATCCCTCCTAGTGGTCAGTGAAGCATCAGCTTGAGTGCTGATGGGAAGTTGCTGCCTCTTATGACATGTGGTTAAAGGAGAGAATAAAAATGACAAGGCAGAACATTCCAGCTTATTATTGAGGGAAAACATTCAGTACCTTTTGAACTCTCTCTGTTCATAATACTGAGAAACGGAATCATCTGTCAGTGGAAAAGCATTGATAAAAATATTTTCAAGCACAGCTACATACTGTGGAAGGTTTTGGGGGAAAATGAAATTTGTTCTGTGGTTTCAGAGGTTAGAGTTGGGAAAATCAGTAACATTATTGGGAAATGATATGGAATGGTCTTTCTAGTGTGTTATTCCACATCTCTCTGTCTCTTTCTCTCCCCTTCATATTAATAGCAGA